TTCTCATTTTTAAAAAATAAACTTACATATACCTTATTTTATACGATCGCTAGTTTTGATAATTTACTAATAATCTCAATTTACTGTACTTGGTCTAGAACTGTAGTAACTGTACCCGAGCATAATTTTTTTAAATTTCTGCCTGGAGTGCCCTGCCTCAAATCATAACGGGAGGATTTTATAAATTTCCAAATTTTAACAGCAGTTGTGAATGGAAAGAAGGTATTCTCAGCTAAAACCCACCTCCACCTCTCTCCATAACAATTTTGAATTTTTTTTTTGGGTTTACATGTTGCAACATAGTTTTTACCAGTGCTGTTCCCTTTGCAACCCTCCGGTGTTGGAAAATAGATGCCAACCCTTTCATTTTAAATATTATAATGGCTGACACCCTAAACATAACGCGATTAACAATATAATTTTAAGGGTCATATAAAAAGATAATATATATGTACTCCTTACTTTCTGTTTAACACAATCAATGTCAAAAGTCTGTGGGTTGGGCTTATAATTCCTTGGAAGAATGATTTATCGCTAACATGGGATTAATATATGAAATCAAACAGATGAAAATATCCTCACATCAGTAGAAAACACAAGAAAAAAATATTATTAATTATTTTGTTCAGGAGAGCACTTCGACATTTTTTACTAGACCCCATGGCTCTCTAAACACTATTAAATATGACTTAGAAACCTTGAGGCTACTTACGAGCCACAATGACGTCAACTACTCCCTACTTGATAATATTTTTATTTTAATCTTAATCGGATAGCATAATAAAAATCAATAAATTTCATATGAAATAGATTTATTTATGGTTATCGCCATGACATCATTACTACTGGAAAACTAAAAATCCTTCCATAATAAATTTAAATTACATCCAGTAAGTCATTCACTTTCTCCTGAACAACGATAATGTAATTATATCCCTGGATTTGATTTTTTGGTAGATATGGCGGTTTTATACCTATAAGAATTTCTATCGAATTTTGTTAAAATGAGAAAAGACCTTGAATGTATTCTTAAGTTTCATGTAAACCTTTTGGTGCAAAAAAAATCTATTTGCTTTAGTAACTTAACTATTTGCTAAAACTTTCAGTAAGTTGCATGAAAGAAGGCATATCTCTTTTAAAGCTCATATTTAGTTAATATATATAATATCATAAAATTATAAATCTTTCTTTTATTACATCATAAAATTGAAAATCTTGCGAAGACCTCTTGAAAAATTATTTAGATTTTTTTATTATTTCAATATATATATAAGTTTTATTTTATTAACAAATTAAATTATTAAGGAAATATTTATAAAATCAAAATATTTTTGATAAACCTCAATTCAATGAGGCGTTCTCTTGCCTGAATTTGCATTTATACTATACAAGAATATTTTGTCTGCTATTTTGCACATGCTAATCTTATGATTAATAAAAATTTGTAAAATTGTAAGAGATAAAGATGTCATTGAGAAAGTTGCTGATCTTCCTCATTCCTCAAAATATCTATTCAAGTCTTAGAGCATCATAAAGGCTAAATATTCGGAATTAGACTTTCAAAATATAATTTTATTTATCCTATTTTACAAAACAAGAGTATAAAATTTATTTAAAACCCGTTTATTTAGTGTGTAAATTATAGGTTGATTTTTAAAGGTAGGAAACATTTTTCCTGTTTCAAATTAAAAACTAAATTTATTATTTCAGGAAATGCAAGGCAAGTAAAAAAGAATATATGTAACATTCCTTCCATAAATATATATTATTTTATACATATATACCTTTTTGTCCTTTTAAGAGCATATATTTTATTTTGAACATTATTAAGTAAAGAAATTTAAATAATTTTGAAATAACTATTATAAAGTAAATCATTAATTCATTTCAATATTTCATATTTTAAAGATAAAAAACACTTAGATAGTACTTTACCACAAATTTATAGCTTTAAAGTTATTAAAACATTTTTCTTTTACATTTTCCGAAAATTAATTTTTATCAACGATAAATAAAAAACTCATAAAATTGGAAAAACTAACATACTTATTGGTAAAAATTAATTGTAAAAAAAAACCTATTGGTTTTTAAAAGAAATAATAAAATAGAAATAAAATAAAAGATGAGAAAAAAAGAATGGCGAAAATTCAAAAATTTATTAATCCATGTCATACATTTATAATATTTGTCAAATAAAATTCACTAAGACTTCACGTCTTAATCTTTAATAAAAGAAAATAATTTTTTATTACTGATTCATTCCTATAAGGAATCAGCAAAAAAAAATAGCAAGATATTAGTTGTATAAAGGTTTGTTGGTTTTTTTGACATAAAAAAGTCGGAGGAGGAGATTAAAACTATATAAATAGAAATGTAAAAGATTTCGAGTTATTTTCAATTCTTATGTCCATCCTAAAATGCATGGTCAAAAGAATTATTTTATTTAAATATAAAAAAAATTCAACTCATAATTTTTAAATGAATTAAACGTATATATGCATTGCAAAATAATATTAGTTCTTATGAATATTTATAAGATAAAGTAAGTATATCTATGATACTAATTCATGGTTCGATTGAAATTTTTACATTATTATATGAAAACTTTTTTTCCCATAATATTTTGTTTGTCACCGAATAATTGTCACACAAATTTTATAAATATGTTTTATATTTTATTTTTGAAAAATGGTATAATATTTATACTGTTAGTGTATAAAATAAATACCAATAAATTAAATGCTTAAGTAATTTATTAATTACGCCAAAAATGCAAAAAAATGTTGAATTAATGTAATCATATTTCTCTGATTATTTTTGATGGATGTTTAAAAATAACTCGAAAGATAAAATTTTCAAATTATAAGCAAAATTAATCATAATACAAAAGTTGGTTGATATAATAAATAAAAAAACATATTATGCATTCAATATATCTCTTATGTTTTTGTGCATGTTTTTTAACTATGTATATGTAATTATGTTGTTTTTATTCATGAAGAATTCTTTAAAAGTTCTCAAAATATATATAATTAAATAAATATATTCTGTGGTATAGTGACAGTGAGTATGACAAGCAAAGAGCCCTCTGTGCCATCTGCCCCAGCTTAGGCCCCTATTATATAGGTTATGGTAGGGAAGGAAATTATAATGGTTATAATTCTGGGACAAAATATTATAAAGATTAAGGTCTGTTTGCGGCTTTAAAATATTAAAAAGGTTCATTTAGATTATGAAAGATTCTCCAACATTTTTAGAGAATTATCATTGTATTATAAAATTGAGTAAAAGGCATATTAGTCGATTAATTGCTTAAAATATAATAAAATAGATCTTAGTAAAAAAAGTTAGAGTATAAATTTTTAATTGAACTTTTAAAGTTTCGATTCCTTTTAGGAATGTGGATTCTATCACAATTCAATAAATTAAAAATTAAATTTTTATCAAAAGTTAAAAACTATCAAAATGTATTAGTTAATATTAGGTATGCAATACCGATTAGAGATAATTCCATGACAAATCGACTGAAATAAGATGATTTTCAAACGACCATTTTTAAAATAGATGAAACTTAGCATGAGGGTTATTATATTTTATATAAAAAAAATTTAATGCTCTAACTCAAATATATCCCGAATAATAGACCTTCAAAGTTCAATGAGGGCTTTTCATTTTTTAACAAATCTCAAATTACTTGAAATATATTTGGTCTAAAGTAAGAAATTATATATCATTTTGTAGCCCTCAAAATTCTCCTTAAGAAATTGTTAAAATATTTTCAAAAATATCTCAGTGTCATTGTATTTCTTGTAAAGAAAAAAAAATATTATTTTGAAAAGTGCCCTATTTAAAATGATGAAGCATATAAAACATGTTTATTACCAATATATGTAAATATTCAAGTAAAGATATTGATGGAGAAAATAAGAATTTAATTTTATTTAGTTTTTTATAAATTTTGTAAAAGGACGTTTGAAACGAAAAAAATTAATCATCAAAAGTATTTATTACCAGCATATTTAAATATTTAAGTACAAATTTTATTTCGCTTATAATGGCGCTATTTTTAAAGATAATTATAATGTATTTTATAAATAAACATATGCATTTTATATTTATTAATAACCATTAATATTTTTATAAAATTATTATAAACAGTAGAAATTTATTTATTATAATTATCTTAATCGAAAGCGCCAACCCCCCAATTATAAAACTAAATATAATTTAAATTATTTTTTCCTTCGTTAATATTTTTCCTTAAATATTTAAATATCTTAGTAATAAACATATTTGATAAGTTTCATGATTCCAAACGCCCTTTATAATTGATTTTCTTATTCCTAAAATTATAAAAAACTTTAATAAAATTTAAATTCTTATTTTTTCCATTAATACTTTTACTTGATTATTTAAATATACTGATAATAAACACATATCATGAGCTTCATGGTTTTAAATGGGACACTTTTCAAAATAATTTTTTTTTGTATTACCGGAAATACGAAACTGAAGATATTTTTTTAAAATAATTTTTGCATTTTCTTAAGGAGAATTTTAAGGACAACATGTTATATAATTTGTTACCAAAAACATTTTGTGTATTGTGAAATTCATTAAAAGAGGAAAAGGTTTTCATTGAAGTTTGAAGGCCCATAACTCGGGATACATTTGAGCTAGGGCATTAAAATTTGAATTAGTATAAAATATAGAATCTATTTAATCTTCATAACAAGTTTCAACCTCTTTTAAAATTCTCGTCCGAATCACTGGGTGATTTGTAATGGAAATAGAATACTATAAACAAATTTTTATTTTTACTCTGGAAGGCGTATTTCTAAACTACAAAATACTTGCAAGCATTATGCTTTGCTGGAATAATAAATATACAAACTTATCTAATTTGAGTTCTTAATCATTTTAGAGCCTTGCAAACCTAGAACAATTTATTATTTCAAATTGTTGTCATGAATATAATATTATATTTTCTATATTTTTAGGTAAGAATTTATGCCAGTCAAAATTCGGTCATTCATGCTTAGGAGGTATAATTTTTAAATTTTTTTGACTTTTTCATAGGATGATATGTTTTATAATACATCGTAACTTTTAGGTTTTGGAAAAAGAATCTATGTAGATGAATCCTATTTACCGGAAAGTTCCCGACAGGTTGAAGAAGAGCCATCTTTGCAGGATTATTTAAATAATGGGGCTGATCTAGTATCTCCTCATAATCTAGATGACATATCAGTAAACAAAAATGAGGAATAATTATTATTAAATTTAAGTTCGGGTCCCTCCAAAGGCAGATAGGGCTGAACCAATTTTAAAAAAAAAAAACTAAGACTAACTTGGATCTGAATTTAAAATAATTTGCTTATTAGTTTGTTGAACTTTTAAATTTTAAACATTTTTACATGAGCATTCCTTAATATATTATTTATCTAATGATAGAATTAATATATACGCTTTTAATAATATTGTTCTTTTTTAATGGCCATAACATTCCTTTTTTCTAGATTCTGCTGTTATCTATTTAAAAATAGCCATTTCCCCTGTCTCATCCTTGGGCTGCCTTAAAATCTTTATATTCTTTCACTAAATATTTTTATTTTTTCACTAGCACCCTTTCATTCTTTTCCTGTCTATTCCCCGCTTTTTTTAAACAATTTATCAGTGCGGAAATCGAACCTGATCCCGGAGTAGTGACTCCGGTTAAATTTTTTCTAAACCCCAATCTAATCTAACCTTGTTTAGAAAATTTCTGCAAACTGGTTTTATTTTTTGAACCCGCGTTCAAAAGAGGTTAGTTCAATTTATAGAAAAAAAAATCATATATTTGGATACTTTGAAATGAAATTTAAATTTTAATTATTTGAGTGGCATTTAAGGATTTATAATATTTATCAATTTTTCGGCTTCCATCTTGTAGAAGTTAGTTAATGGATTTATATATGGGGCTAGTTCTTAAAGTTCATTTTTTCTCTACAAACATCTAAGATAAAGGAACTTCTAGAAAATATTATGTTGATATGATTACTTAAAAAATATAAATTGTTATGTATTTTATTAATATATTTAATATTCAATAAAATAAAACTAATAAAAATTTTAAACCCAAAATTTCATCAAATAATTTTTCAAAAATTACAAAGTAGATTTTCTAATCATAGTAGGGTACATTTCTGGTATCAGATTTTGAAATTAAAAAAAAAACGCCTAAAAAAAACACATTGACTGAAAAAACCATAGACGCTAACATATATATATACTATACTGTCAAAAAAGGCATCAATGTTTCAAGCTTGGAACTTGACCACTATTCATTACATATATTTACTTTGTAAAACAGACATCTATGATATTTGTGTAAATTCTCTAATTTAACTATATTGTCTGATTTTTTTTCAAAATATTAAAATTTTGTGCAAACTTAAATAGAACCCACCATTTTTTTTGTCTTGAATCTAATTTCTTTCACTCTTTCATTCATCCTTCATCCTCCCATCTCTTCTTCCCCTCCCCTCCCCTCCCCTCCCCTCTCCCTCCCTCCCTCCCTCCCTCCCTCTCTCCTTTTTTCCTTTCCTTTCCTTTCCTTTCCTTTCCTTTCCTTTCCTTTCCTTTCCTTTCCTTTCCTTTCCTTTCCTTTCCTTTCCTTTCCTTTCCTTTCCTTTCCTTTCCTTTCCTTTCCTTTCCTTTCCTTTCCTTTCCTTTCCTTTCCTTTCCTTTCCTTTCCTTTCCTTTCCTTTCCTTTCCTTTCCTTTCCTTTCCTTTCCTTTCCTTTCCTTTCCTTTCCTTTCCTTTCCTTTCCTTTCCTTTCCTTTCCTTATTGTCTTCGCTTATTTAGTTTGGCATTTCTATTAATCATTTAAATAACTTTATATCATCATACAAAATTTTTATTTCATTCATTTATTTATTTGCATTGTGATCTACGACCTGTTCAAGAAGAACTACATAAATTATGCAAGGCTCTTCGCATAATCCACCAGGTTTTTTTAACAAAACCTTGTCAATTAAAATTGTATCTGATCGAGATATCATTTTGTAATCTATTTAATTAAGACTTTTACACTTTTAATTTGAAGGGGCTATTTCGGACTTTTTTTAAACTATATGAGTGGGAACCCTCAACATTAGGCTATAATTTCATTATGCTAATTAATTTTTGTCTCAAATTTTTCTTTGAATGAATTTAACGAGAATCATCTTTTGTCCGGATTTGCCCCAAGCCCTGTGTATTCCCGGATACAACTGGGATATTTACGATTAGCTTTATTTTTATAGAAAATGATTTTAAAATCAACAAATTATATAACTAAACTTTATTAATGAATTTAATAATCCTCGAGGCCCATCATTGACCTAATGTTTGATATGGTTTTAATAGATACTTTATCCTCGCATATTTTTTGTTTAAATCTTAATTAGCATTTAACAATACATTTTATGATTATTTTTCCTTAAAATTTTATATAATTTTAAAAAAATTATAAAAAATATATGAATGATAAACATTTATAGTGTCCTGCAATTATCCCGTCCGGCATATCCCCCGATGTAGTATCTACATAAATGCGATCAGTAATAAATAAATCCTTTTTTAAAATCTTTTTTATTTTATATTTGTTCAAAGATCACAGTATCAATTTTAATGTGTAGAACTTAAATAAATTAATTTTAACAAAAAAAAATCTAACAAACCTTTTTTTACTTTTAGTAATTAAAAGAGGTTTTTTTTCCATAAAATTTTTCCAAAGTGTCCGAAGCTGAATCTTTTTTCAAGAATTGGTTTTTTTATATAAACATATTTTCTTTATAAATTTTTAGTCATCAAATATCGGAATTTTAAAAAATATTAATTTAAAAAATTTTTTAACTTTATCTTAAAAGATTTTTCATGCATGAAAATTACAAACTATTTTGTCATCTTTAGGTTCAAGAATTTCTCTTCTTCAAAAAAAATCTTCAAAATTTTGAATTTTTTTTTCAAACTCTACAAAAAATAGAGTTTTACTTATTTATGAATAAAACAAAAATATTCGTTATCTTTATTTCAATTTTTTCGCAATGATATAAAATTGTTTAAAAGCAAATAAGTAAGAATTTAATTTTCTTAATACAGAGCCCCATACCATACCTATATTTATTAGTTATAATTATTTGTTCTTGCAAAATATTGCATTTATCATTTTTAAAAAAATTTAAATTTTAAAATAGCAATTTTTGAAAAACGTAGTTTCCAAAAGTGAATAAACATGTCATAGTTGTATCTAGGATTTTGTTTTTTTTGGGGGGGGGGGGCACTATTAGATGGTTTCCCCCAATAAATTTTACTATATTAAATTTTTATAAAATTTTTGGTTTTTACTTTTTTTTTTTATTAAAATGCTATTTTCTAAAAAATTTCGATTATAGCCGTTTAAAAAATTATTAACTTTTAATAATTTTTCTCAAATTCTATATAGTGATATATCGTAAATTTTTAGGGAAAGGCGGAGAGAGGTTTAAGGAATAAATTTTTATTACCTTAAAATAATATTTACGAGAACAAGCAATTTGTGGGAAGGGTGAATTTTCTCTCCCCCTCCCCTCCCCTCCCCTCCCCTCTTGGATATGCGCCTGAAACATTTAGAGGTTAATCATGGGTATATTAACTCACATTTACATTATTTTATTTTATAATATAGTGTTTGCTCTAATATAAATTATAACTTTAAATATTTATATACAAATTTCTGAGTTTTTAATAGTATGTTAAATTATAATTAATAGGTAATTAAAAAATATTACAAAATTTTGATTATTCAAACGAATTTTTTTAAAGAAGCAGAAACCTGCAAGCACTTACCAAAGCCAGGACTTGTAAAAATATTATTTTAAAAAAAGGAAAAATAAAATATAACACAGGGTCTCAAATATATTAATTTTTTTATTAATTAACTAACAATTGAATCACAACTGAAACATTTATTCTCTTCTCATATTTTAAATTTTAGACCTCACTCTGAAACCATTTATAAAAAATAAAACCAAAATCATCTCTAATAAACAAATTTTAAAGGTATAGGCAAAAAAATGAATAAAAATAGGGAATAGTCTTGGGAATTTCTTTTTTTAAAATGGGACTTGAAAATGGTACAGCTGTTACCCAATAAAAAAAATCTTTAAAAAAGATTAGCATTTTGTTGTATATATTTTATATAGTATGATTTATTTAATTAACAACAAAAAAAGTTAGTATACCAATTTAAAAAGATATATATTAGCTTTGTTATATAAATGTTTATTTTACAACTCTGCTGCTATATACGATATACATAATTATTTTTCTTGTTATATTATATTTGTTCACATAATTATATATTATAATTATTCTCATTTTACTTATAATTTAACCAAAATAAAATACTACTAATATTCTTAATTCTGAGTTAAAATCCCTACATATTTAAAAAAAATTTGATTTTCCGAAATAACATAAATATTACCAAATTATTAGTTATAAATATTATTTTTAAATATTAATTAAAAATAATTTCGCTTAATTTATCATAAAAAAATTTAAAAAATTAATGTTTGAAAACTGAAATGGTATAATTTCCTTCATATTGACATTATAAAATAATGATTTTATTTTTATAGATTAATATAGAAATAAATCCATTTTTGAATAATTTTTTTTTAAAAATAACAGTCCTTCCTTGAGATTAGTTCATTCAATTTATTTTAATTCAGCAAAACTTTTATTGCAAATGTCATTTATCACGAAAGTATTTTAGAGCGAACAGCGAAGGTTATATCGCCAAACCAATTACGCTAATTTTTTCCACCAAATATGTATAGCGGAGAATATAACGAACCCATTCTGGTGAATTTATTTCCCCGAACCCTTAACCGCGAATACTTTATTGCGAATACATTTTAAAGAAACTTTTATCGCGAGCCTTTTATGGCGATTTTTTTACCGCGAATGTATTTGCGTGTTGTCACTATCGCCAGCACATTACCCCGAAACTATAAATATATTGCGAATGTATTTATTAAAGAGAAACACAACATATTATAATAATTTACTTACCTAAGTTCTTTAAATCATAAATGCAAAGAATTATAAGGATATTTTGTGACTTTTAATCTAAGTAAACATGCAATATATCTGATGTTATAAAAGAAATTAGCAATTTCTTTCAGTTCTCACTCATGGTTTTAAGTACAGAGGGCGAATTTGGGATCAGTTTTAATACCAA